CACTCTTCCCCCTCCCCCCGCCCCTGGCCCAGCCCCGGCACCCTCCCTTGTTCTTGCACCCTCTCTCCTGACCACATACTGCTCCCTCCCTTGTTCCTGCTTCCTCCACTTCGTCAGATACCCTACTCCCAGCCTGCTTCTGCACCGCAGCTTTTTCCCAGATCCTGCACCTCATCCTTATCCTACTTCCTGGCAGCTCTGTCTCGTGCACTTTACCCCTCATTTTTGTCCCTACCCCAGAGCCTGAGAAGGTTCATAAAATCCACTAACTCTAGAACCCCAGAAAAGTAAATCTAGTCTATGGGAAGCCCTGAACCTCAGTTTCTCCCCTTCTTTTCCCCTCACCCCGTGAGGCTGGGGCCCAAGAGGAGTGAGGTGTCTCAGTTGGGGCCACATTAGTGAGCGTTGGAGGGTTTTGGAGGAGTTTTTTTTGCTTCCCACTTTGTGGCCCCCAACTGATTGTTTTGTGGGTCAATGACCCCGATCCTAAAAGGATTCCCCACCCCTGCCATAAATAAAGAAAACATTGAAACCTTTCGTGTTGGACATAATATTTTACTTAGTTTATCAAACTTCATTTTAAATAAACATGAAAAAGATTAAGCATGTTTAATAATTTAAATCAAACTGTTCTTACTAGCAGCAGCTGGTTCAGAAAATAAGGTCACCATACCCAGCAGAGTAGTTCTCAACCCTGCCCCTTCTGAGTCGGCCCACGACCACTTTTGAAATTTGTAAAGTGGCTTCCCTTCCAAAATTATTGCCCTCCCCAGTCGTATATGATCTAAAAATCAAAAAGGAGTTGTATTAAAAATTGGAAACAAGGTCAAATTACAAAAGATTAATATAAGCAAACAACAGAGATATGCAGGAGCAAGATTAGAAAGGCAAAGGCAGAAAACAAGCTAAATTTAGCTAGGGGCATAAAGGGTAACAAGATGATGTTCTACAAGTATATTAGGAGCAAGAGGAAGTCCAAGGACAGGGTAAGCCCATTGTTTCTCCCTCTTTATTGAACAATAACGGGAAACTTGGAATTGACAGAGGTGCTTAATGATTTCTTTGTTTCGGTTTTCATTAAGATGATGGATTGTGATGGGATGCCTAACATAGAGAATACTAGTGGAAATGGGTAGATTTAGAAGTTAAGATAAAAGAACAAGTTAAAAATAACTTAGAAAAGTTAGATGTCTGCATGTCACCAGGGCCTGATGAAATGCATCTTAGAATACTTGGGGAGCTGATAGAGGAGGTAACTGAGCCTTTAGCTATCGTCTTTGAAAAAACATGAAAGTCAGGAGAGATTCCAGAAGACTGGAAAAAGGCAAGTATAGTACACATCCATGAAAAGGAAAATAACAACAACCTAGGAAACTACAGACCAGTCAGTTTAACTTCTGTGCCAGGGAAAATAATGGAGGAATCCATTAATTAATTACGATGTTTGCAAACCTCTGTAAGATACTGTGATGGGTAACAGCCAGCATGTATTTGTAAAGCACAAATCCTGTCAAACAAATCTGATAGGGTATCAAGCCTTGTGGATAAGGGAGAAGTGGTGGACATGGTATTCCTAGATTTTAGTAAGGCATTGACATGGTCTTGCATGACCTTATCCATTAACTAGGGAAATCCAGCCTAGATAGGGCTGCTATAAGGTGAGTGCATAACTGGCTGGACTACCATTCTCAGAGAGTAGTTATTAAAGGTTCACAATCATGCTGAAAGGGCATAACAAGTTGGGTTCTGCCAGGGTCTGTTTTGGGACCAG